CCCCCGACTTAATTAAACGTATATATAATAAAATATATTAATTTAAAAAAATTAAAAAACTATTGGAGGTCGTTTTTGACATCAGAAACTAGCTTTAAATAACTTTATCGAAGTAAAATCCGTGCACTACTACTTTAGAACGATGAATGAAATTTGATAAAAAAAACTCCCATTAAAAAACAATTAAGCGTTAATCGTGCGTCATTAAAGGTATATTAAAATCGCGATAAAATATTTTCGCGCGGGAAAAAATTTTTGAAAAAATTTGGAGACTTAAAAAACATCCAAAAAAAAACAAAAATTTTTTCAGAGGGCCCAAATGCCCGAGTTTTATGTAACGCTATGGAATTTGCCCGAGTTCTCTCGGGTTTTAAAGATTGCAGCATTACTTCTTGCCGCCTGCAGATGGCTGTGATTGGTCATCCATATTCAGCAAACGAGATCAACAATGCAGTTAAAAAGACAAATTCCCTGACTTTTTGACAATTTTCGACAAATTTCCTGACTTTCTCTGACTTTTTCCAAACACTAATGAAAATCCCTGACTTTCCAGGTGCGTAGGAACCCTGGTTATCATACATAAGGGTTTATCACACCAAGTGACCAATCAAACACATTTTAAAAATTCTTTATTCCTCTACTGTAGATAGGTCACATAATTCTGTTAGATAGGTCACACCAAGTGACCAATTTAACTCTTACATAAGATAATCTTTGCAGGTATATAAATGAAATAATATAATATTATTGTACATAATAGAAGGATTAGAAGTATGAAACAATCTAATAATCTTAATCTTTGCTGCTTAATCTTTTGTCCAAGTAATGCCCGCTTCATCTGCTAGTTTAATATAAAAGTATAAACCAGCTTCTGTAGAAAATTATTAAATTTTTGTAACAATTATATTTTTAAATAATGTTAAAATGTGCATTACTTATGATATATATACTTGTAAAATTTAATTCTCATTTATAGGCAAAAAATTATAGAAAATTAAAATTAATTCAAAAAATTAATACAGTGATACCTCATACTTCAAACTTAATTCATTGCAGGAGATTGTTCAAACTCCAAATCGTTCAAAGTCTGAAGTAATTTTTCCCACAAGAAATAATAGAAAGTGAATAAATTCATTCCCCAACCCTGAACAATACCCATTTCGATAAACTTAAAATTGCAAATACACATTATTTAATGTAAAAATAAGACAATTACATGTTCTAATAATAAATTAAAATCTAAAAACAATAAATAAAATATGTAAATAATGTATAATGTAATGAAAATTGCATTAACTGGTCGCACACTATCAACTTTGGCATCTTAAACATGGCCGCCAGATCTGCCACACCTGCACTGCTTTCACATTTCGTGATATGTTGTTCCTTTTTCATTTCAATTGTCGATACTACAACCTTCTTTTTAGACCAGTGATTCCCAAACTTTTTTGAGCCATTGCTCCCTTGGTTCCAAAAACTTATACCCAATGCCCCAAAATCCCATTTTTTCCTTGTGTGAGAAAGGCTCGGAAATATTCTTAGAAAAACTTTTCTGTGAACCTCACACTGTGTCCTTACTGTATATTGTTCTCCACATCTAGAAACTATTAAACACAATGTTTCTTCTTACCCATTTTAATGGAGGAAAAGAAAAAGTTGTTAGTGACCACTTTGTCTATGGTTACAATTCAGTACCCAGCCTCCAGTGCTCCCCTGCCACCCACTTGCTTTTTTTCATTCCTCTAGATTTACTCACCACCCACAGGGGCGGAAGTGTCCACTTTGAGAACCACTGTTTCAGAACATGTTGCTTCCATGCCCTTTTCAAGTTCCATAGTTAGTATGTAAATTTACATTGAGTCCAACAGAAAGCTTTTATCTATTTTTACAGCTGTTGTTACTTAACATAGTTATGTGATTTAATTGTAACATTCATGAAATTTATCACATTATTACTAATGAGAGATTGTATTCTTTGTTTAGAAACTTATTTTAAACTTTTTAATTCATATTTTGTTTTTATGAAAATCAAGTCAAAATATCTTCAAGCACATCTGGCATGCTACTTTTTATGAATTTCAGAAAGAATATAACACTGTAAAACAGTAAGAATGATTCATAATGTATGGGGAATATGCTCCTAAGCTTCAAATATGCAAATGTGATTTAAAAAATTCCATTCAGGAAGCTTTGAACTAACAGATAAACAATGTAGGAAATTCAAAAGACGTCAATGAAAAAAATTGTGAGAAGAAATTGTTAAAAATCAACGAAAAACACAAAATATATAACTAAACATACTAAAAATTAAGTAAAAAAAAGCACTAAAAACATATGAATGTAACACGAGAGAAAGAGATGACTTCCATTTATGGTTCCAGCATATTTTTTCAGTGCATGCAGAGTTCAAACTCTGAAGCATCATTCAAAATCAGAGGCAAATTTTTATTGAATTTAACATTCAAACTCTGAAGTGTTCAAAGAGTCATTCGAAGTATGAGGTACTGCTATAATTATAAGTAATATGTAAATTACAAAATAAAAAAAATATAATAAAATAAAAATAAAAAATAATGCAAACAGGAAAGTAATTTAAGATATATTCTATTTAAAACTTTACAGCCATAAATGAATCAGGAGTTAAAAAAACAAATGGGAGATTAAATAAAAATTTTAATTCTATGAAAAACATTTAAAAATTTGAAAGTCAAATACATTTTTTAAAATTGTTAATACTCACTTCCCACCAGGTAGGGCTTATTTTTCTGATAACATATATAACATCATCTGGTTCAAAAGATATGTATCCGGGTCCTCCACTGTATGGCCATTTAGCTGTTACTTTAACTATAAAAAATTTAATATTTATAATTTAATTTTAAAAACATTTCAAATTTAATTAAATATAAAACATAATCAGTTATTGTGATTCAGATACAGAGTTTTAAAGTTTTTTAGTGTTGACTGAAAAATTTTGAATTTATTTTCCTAACATAGAAGAAAAAAATTTTAAAAATAGATTTTGTCTTTGTAAAAACAAATGTTTGTTTGTAACATATATTCTTTGTCGGGCAGAATATTAATTAATTTTTGATTAATTTAGAATATAAATTAATCAAAAATTAATTTACATTCTGCCTGATGATGAATATTTGGTTATTAATTATTAGTTTTGTTTTTAAGAAATATTTTCACATTTAGTTTTTCTACCTCATGTCATTTTTTTTCATTGCTTTGTATTGGGAGAAACTTTATATGTATCTTGTTATTAAAGAGATAGTTGTTAATAACAGCTGTTCTTGATGGATAACATGAATTTCATTTCAGTTTTGCTTACAGTTTTAATTCTTAGATGAATAAGCTTTATTCATAATGTTAGAACATATAGTATCATATATATCAATAATTCCATATCTCAGGAAGAAAAATGTTTGTATAATTAATTTTTGCAATTTATTAACAGGCAATTTAAAAACTTAATTCTACTTATTAATTAATAAATTAAGAACATATTAATAAATTAAGAACATATAAATTAATAATTATTATAATTAAAAGTAAACAAACAGAATAAATTTATTAGATGTTATTTTTATCTAAAAAACAAAAATCAAAATTATAATTTACTTTTATAAATAATGCTTGAGTTTTTGAACAATTCATTCTTTCAAACATAATACTTTGATACCCTAAATCCCTTCACAAACACTAAATTTAGATTTTTGTAAAACTTCAGTTTACAAAAAAAAAATTCTGAGATGTCACAAAGTGGTAATTTCTGCCAATTTTGTTTTGGTAATATCAGGCATGGCCAACATATGGCCCACAATTAATCTTTCAATAATAGCTATTTAACTTCCAATAATTGATTGAATGGATTTGTGATACTTCTTTATTTTTTTTAAAAATTCCATTGTAGAGATTTACAACTTTTATACTCGTCTGTGTGATAGTGCCAGAATAAAAAAAAAAAATGATAAATTTAAAATATTAATATTTATCATCAAATAATGAATGTTAGACAGTAATTCAAGATATACAGGTGACATTCAATTTAACTTAGTCATTTGTGTGCTTTGCTAGAAATATAATACTAATATATTTAAACATTTATATATACAGTGGTGCCTTGTATAACGTACGCCTCAAATAACGGATGCTGCAAACAATGAACTTTCTGTTTGGCCATTACGTAACTCAAGCAACGGACTGGCTGCGAACAACAGACTTTCCGTTTGGCAGTTACGTGAGGCAAACAACGGTCTTTCTGTGAACAAGTGCAAATGATGTTTCCACTCTTGCCGTTGCCAATGACAATCTGCTATTTTTATAATATATTATTAGTATATCTGAAGTACAGAGCTCCCATTGGGATTCGGCTTGCTCTTTTGTTTATTACATACATCACCTCAGTGCAGGGTATTTACATTTATTCAAGTGTTTTGCAAATCGTGGCTTCTAAAAAAACAGAAAGGTGATTTCAATTGAAACAAAGCAAGACATCATCAGAAGGAGTGAAAGTTGACAAAAACTTCCTTGTCAAATGGGGAGAGGTTAAAGAGTTTACTAACACTCATTATCCAAACAGAGCTGAGGCCAACAGGATCAATGATCTCTACAATGACACCCTTGCCCGTCATTTCCGACAGGTGTTGAAGAAGAGAGAGAAACAGACCACCTTGGACATGTTTTTCAAGAAGCCAGCCGCCAAAAAAACAAAGGATGGAACAAGAGGAGATGACCCTGCAAACTCTGGTAGCCTCTCCTGAATCTGACTCCGATTAAATAAACAATAAGAAGAGACCTGCTGCAATGTGTAAAAAGTCTATCTGTGTGAATGCATGAGAAAAGTGTTCCTCCACCTCCTTCTCACAACATCTGACTACCCGGCGTAAGTGGTGACTGCTCCATTTTCATTTTTTAATGGTACAGTATGGTTATTTTATGACGCAGAACGAATTATATGTTTTAACATGTATTTCTATGGGAAAATGCGTTTCGTATAACGGACTTTTCACTTAACGGACATGCACCTGGAACGGATTAAGTACGTTATACGAGGCACCACTGTAATTAATATTTAATTTTTAAATATATAGTAGTTAATAACTATTTTAAAGATTTAATTATATTATTATTGTAAAGACTATTAATTATTTCAAAATATATAATTATTTTAAAGAATTACAATTACTTCAAGATTCACAATCATTTTAAATTTAAATTAATGTTAATAAATGCCTAATAACAATTTTGAATAATAATAATTTTTATGATTTATAAAAACCATAAAAATTGTTATTATTCAAAAACAACCCACATCATCTGTACTCAATATAAACTGTGACATTTAGCGACAATGTGAAACCCCAATCTTTTAGGCACAGTTTGCCAGTGTGCACCCAAGGCCAAGCAATTTGTTATTTTTGTAGTCAAGTGTGTGTGAATCAAGTGGCATTGTGGCAGTTGATGACAGAAAATGTGTCCAGGCTGTTTGTAAAACGAAATAATTGTTTTATTTGCAATTGAACCCCTTCAAGCTCATTCTATAAATTAAATATTGTTTTGCTTGATTGCGAAACAGTTTGGATATTTATACAATATGTAATTATATTTTAATTAAAATAATTTTGTATATTAGAAAACTTTTTCACTCTAGGGATGGCTTCCAAAAATGAAAAATTGATCTTGAATGCTGTTTATTTAATGATGAATGGCAATGGAAACATTTTTTTTACTATGTACAATAAAAAAGGCGATTTGTCTTATTTGCAATTTGAGTGTAGCCGTTTTAAAAGAATACAACTTGAAAAGACATTTTGAAACAAAACATGCAACTTAGGCACAAAATTTAAATGAAGAAAGCCAAAAAAACAAGCAGTAGATCTCATATTAAAATTGACTCGGCAGCAAAATATAATTATACAGCAAAATTGATTACAAGAATCTGCTACTGAAGCAAGTTTGCTAGTAGGAAAAGAAATTGCTCAATGTGGAAAATGTTTTGCTGAAGGAGTATTTGTAAAAAAGTGCATGTTGGATGTTTGTGATGTAATGTGTCCAGAAGCTAAACATAAATTTTAAAATATAAGTCCATCTTGGCAAACTATTGCCCAAAGAATAAAAGATATGAATGCTAATTTAAATGAGCAGTTACTAAATAATTTAGAATCAGCCCATTTTTATGCAATAGCTCTTGATGAAAGTTGCAATGTAAAGGATACTTACTACTCAGTTATTAATTTTTATCAGAACTATCACTGAAGATTTTCAAATTTCTGAAGAACTTTTGTCAATTGTTCCTTTGAAAGATACAACAAAGGGAGAAGATCTTTTCCGAGAAGTTGAAAAATGTATTTTGAAATACAATATTGACTGGAAAAAATTGATGAATGTAACAACAGATGGATCAACAAATATGATTAGAAAAAATATTGGTCTCATAAAACAAATTGAAGACAAAATTTCTAAAATTGATCCAAATCATATTATTATACCCATACACTGTGTTATTCATCAACATGCATTATGCAAAAATAAAAATGTTATAAATGTAGTTGTGAAATTAGCGAATTTCCTTTGATCAAAAGGATTAAAACACAGGCAACTTATTGCACTCCTTGAAGAACTAAATACCAGTTATTTAGATGTACTATATCACAATAAAATCCGTTGGATAAGATTGGGAAAAGTTTTAAGATGTGTGTGGATCTTCAAGAGAAAATAAAAATATTTTCTCTGGAATGACTGATGAAGCAGGACTTCCCCTCTCCTTGTCACTCATTATGAGCAACATCGCTCATTAAGCAAGTCATTATTTTACAATTTGTTTTGCTTGTTATGCGAGGTTCTACTGTATTTACACTTTTTATAATATATCTATATGCATTTGCCAGTTATGCATCCACTGAAGAGGCCTAACTGGCAAAATGCATATGGATATACTAGAAAAAGTATAAATAAAAACCCTTTTGATTTGTTAACTGTCTTGTCATAATTTGTGCTTGAAGTCGTCGTTGATTGAGTATACTCGAATAATTTTTCTAAAATTTTTTTAACTTTTAGAATTATACTTATCTTAGGTTTGATTACGCATCCACAAAGGAGGCGTCGAGTGTGGACATTACAGACTTTGTGAAAACTTTGCAGGGTTCCATATCCTGTATGAGCAGCGGATGACGCGATTGCAGCTTCCACCATTTGTCCAACAAATGACATTGTATACGTTATCATTCATTTCAGAAGGCAACTCGCCGCCTAGTTTGTATTTTTCTTTGTTTATTTTGTCANAGTTAAAAATTAAAAAAAATGAACTTAGATCATACTTCTAACTTAGAAGGTAATTTTCATTTTTTAAATAAAATATAATACAAAATATTGTAAATTTTTATAAGATTTTTAGAAGATTTTAAGCTTTCCCTGTTATTTATAACAGAGCTCAAAAAGTAAAAGGGAGTGATTCTGAGAGATTAGGGTTGGATCAAAATTTTTAGTAGTCAAATAATTGAATAAATTGTAGATAGTTATTGCTTCATTAACAATGGACCTATAACTATTGAATTGGGTAAGAGATAATGTTTGTATACACATGTACCATCAGACACCACAGATAATTATATTATGAGCTATTATATGATGTTAATCTGGAATTAGTTGATCTAGTTATTTGTAATCTATGATACTGTGAGAAGCCAGGGTAGAGAGTCAAACTCAAAACCCCTTTTAATGTCAACAAATTGGCGAGATCCACCCACATTGATACGGTGTCTTAAGGTGCCAAAATAAGTCCACATGGGATCAAGTTAACAATGAAATAACAATTTAATGAGTTAACTAAAAGCATACAA